GCTCTCACCCACAAAAGAAGTTCAAGGAAGAAAGGGAAACCTGAGAAGCAAATATCCTACGAGCTGTCCCCAAATTAATGTGCCTCCCTTAGCTACAACTGCTCGCTACCACAGTGACTGGAGGGCTCCTGATCCTGCATACGGAGCCCAGTTGTGAGCACCGTCAGACTTCCTTCAGCTTGGGTGCGTGAATGGCACCCAACGGTCCCTCACAGGTCCTTACTGAACAGCTGTGCAGCACATACCCCTTACACACTCAGTCGTGCAGCACACACCCTCTCTTTCACACTCATTGCCTGCTGTGTAACACACACCCTCTCTCTAACACTCACTGCTGTGCAGCACACACCCTCTCTCTCACACTCACTGTTGTGCGGCACACACCCTCTCTCTCACACTCACTGTTGTGCAGCGCACACCCTCTCTCTCACACTCGCTGTTGTGCGGCACACACCCCCTTTCACACTCACTGTTGTGCAGCACACACCCTCTCTCTCACACTCGCTGTTGTGCGGCACACACCCTCTTTCACACTCACTGTTGTGCAGCACACACCCTCTCTCTCACACTCGCTGTTGTGCAGCACACACCCTCTTTTTCACACTCACTGTTGTGCAGCACACACCCTCTCTCTCACACTCGCTGTTGTGCGGCACACACCCTCTTTCACACTCACTGTTGTGCAGCACACACCCTCTCTCTCACACTCGCTGTTGTGCGGCACACACCCTCTTTTTCACACTCACTGTTGTGCAGCACACACCCTCGCTCTCACACTCGCTGTTGTGCGGCACACACCCTCTTTCACACTCACTGTTGTGCAGCACACATCCTCTCTCTCACACTCAGGTTCCTCTGATGACAGACAGGTCTACCAAGGTGAGGGGTGTTTCTTAATTCACATGCGTCTACACGACAGCCCATCTCACTGCTTTTCCCATTTCCATAAATATTTCCATCCTGCTGACCTCGGTCGGCACTGGAGTGTCGGACACCTGGGGCTCAGTGGCAGGAGAGGGCGTTTCCAGCTACGAGAGGAGGCTCTGATCCAGCCGGAGGTTTAGGACATTTGTGGGTTCAAGTACTGAATCCATTATTGGGAGGAAGAGGAATGGGGAGGTGCGCACCGGCTAAAGGAAGTGGATTTCCGGGGTGTGTCCTTGAGGTCACACCTGGTCCTGGCTCCTTCCTGCTTCCCTTTGCTTCAGCTGATGTGAACAAGTTTCCTCCTGCCTTGGGATCCTAACAGGGATCCAGCCAGCCACAGAAAGCACTTCTAACGCACGAGCCCAGTACAACATTTCTCTTTGAAACTGTTGTTCAAAACACATACACACTCACACATGTACACGCTCTCTCTCTTATACGTTCACACACACTTACACACTCTCACACACACATGTACACACTCACACATACACACTCTACACACACACATTCTCTCACATGCACACACTCACACACACAGGTATACTCTCTCATACACACATTTTACATCTTCTGAGACTTCTGTCATGGAAAATGACACCAGCAGAGTTTACAACAGTCAGAAAGAGTTGGGTCAACGCTGTCCCACTGTCTGCATATGCCACACTGTCTCCATCCGCTGCCTCCCACGTGGAACTCACTGGAAAAAGACAACAAGAGCTTGCATACACACACTCAATCTCAGTTTTTGAGGCGTCCCACTCTTCAGACTAAGAAACTGTTCTCAGTAGGAAAGCTGGCTTTCATTTTCTACATCTTTAACTCCAGAAGGGTCTAAGTCAAGCCAGTGTGCGGCTGGAGCTTGTGAATGTGACAACGGCACACACGCGGCCTGGCCTCAGCATAGGAGAGCCGGGAGGCAATGGCAGAACGGATTTGTCCGTGAGACATGTATACAGGCATGAAGTCATGCAGAGCTTAGAAGACAAGACCAGAGGAGGCCAGTTAGCCTGGTCTACACAGAGAGTCTAGGGCAGCCTGGGCAACACAACAAGACCCTGCCTTGAAATAAAAACAAAAACAAAGCCAAGCCCACCAATGAAGCCCGTGTGTACATCTAACACTGGACGTGCAAAGCTGGGGTGTGGCTGAATATTCAGAGTGCATGCCCAACATTCAGAAGCCCTGGTCAGCCCTGGCACACATGCCTGTGATGTGGAACACCAGCACTCAGGAGGACGAGGAGAAAGGATCCCAAGTCCAAAGTCATCCTAGGCTTCAGAGGAGGTGTTCAAGTCAGCCTGGGCTACGTCAGATCCCATATCAGAAATAAAACAAAACACAGGCAACCTCGTATTGTCCACGCAAAGAATTCAGGGCAGCCTGAGAGTACTCACAGAACACAAGCATGAGCTGTTCTGCCAGGAACACTTGTGTTCTATGAAGGGCGTGTGAACAACTCCGTCTCCATGGAGATCAGTGAGCAGGGACTACGGGGCCTCATACCCGTTCCTCTCTATGAACAAAGGTACAAAGTGCCATCGGAATATAACCAAAAGCTACCTAAAGAGAGTGATTTGTCTTTGTAGTTAGGTTAAACCAGAGACTCCAGACAATCTCCCTTTCTGATGAATTAACTGATTAGGGGCCAAGCGTGGTAGGCCATGCATTTAATCCTAGCACTTGGGAGACAGAGAAAGGCAGATCTCTGGTCTATATAGCAGGTTCCAGGCCAGGCAGGACTACATAGTGAGACACTGTCTCAAAGACAAGGGAGGGAGGAAGGGAGGAAGGGAGGGAGGGAGGGAGGGAGGGAGGGAGGGGGGGCAGGGGGGGGGGAGGGGGGGAGGGGAGAACTGTGTTCTCAGGCTAAGAGCGTGGGTTGATGGTAGAACACACAAGGAACACGCATGAGAATCCAGCTTCAATCCTTACCATGCAATAATCCATCAGTTAACCAATCAACCTCGGAGTCTTTGGACTGGATCCTACAGCTGAGCGTGAGTCTAAACTAACAACTCACTGATCTAAACAAAACAAGGTAAAGACAATCGTGCACGGTGAGGCGGTTGGAGTGGAACTGTCACTCAAGGCTCATGCCTTTGAGCAGCTGGTGTGGTCTGCTCAGGTCTCACAGGTGTGGCCTCGGTGGGGAGGGTGTCACTGGGGTGTGCTTTGAGAGTTTATAACGCCTGCGTTTTTGGTTCTCTCTCTGCTTTGTTCTTAGGGTAAAGGACGTGCACTCCTGGCCTCCCGCTCCAGCAGCCACGCCTCCTGAGCCAAGTAAACCCTGCCTTCTCTAAACTGCCTTGGTCTCGTGTTTATCGTGATGATAGGAAGTCACTAATGCATAAATAATGGCCGGAGGAAACTCGCATAATCATAATTTAAATATTAAAACGCAGTGTATGTCATGCTATTCTTCAGTAGTGAACCCCACAATCGCGCAGAGTTCCTTCCGTCTGCCGAGCAGGAGGTCTCATCCGCTAGCCCTGCTCCCTTCCCCCGCAGGCCGCTTGGCGTACACACACCCCCTCTCCATGTAGTATATAAAACGCCAGACAGCAAACATCTCCAGCTCTGTCCACTGTGAGGGTCTCTGTAAAAACCAACTCAACCACCTCAGCGCAACAGTCGCTGCAGATAACACGCAGGTGAACGGGCAGGCTGCGTTCCAAGAAAACTGCGCGCACGCAGTGAGAAGCACATGGAGTTGCCACATGACTGGATTGTCTCTATCTCTTGTATTACAATCACTGAAACGTGAAAATATATGTCTTGCAAGACGAAACCATTCTGGAGACGGCTGCAAACTGTGTGCGCACACTTAATGCCAAAATGAGTGCCTGACAGTGTTTAATATCATGTTTATTTTACCACTGCTTTATTTTTTAAAGAAAAACGTCAAAACTCTCTTATTTCTTATTTCACTGACTGGACTGAGCTGTGTGGCCTCTTGAGTAATCACACCTATCAGTTTCATTTTAAAAACAGGCATGAGATGGACTGCAGGCCACCTAACCGTTAAAATTCGAAGAAAAAGAGAAAGAAAAGCAGGAGAAACAATCATTTTACGAAAACTGAGGTGAACATGGACCATGGACCAGCCATGTCGTGAGAACTGCTAGCAACCAGTGGGGGCCCCCCCACCCCCATTGTCAACCCCAGTACTCGAGTTTGAATGGTGGTGACCCTGACCTTCCCAGGGTACTGGTGAGGGTGGCAGGCATTGCTGGGATTCCGGCCACATTTTGGCCTACCTTGCCTGAGGGCCTTTGAACCATGACGCACATCCCTTAGTCCACATGAACCTTCTGGATTAGGACCCCTTTGACAGGGAAAAAAATCAACTAGATTTGATGGCGATCCACAGGTCTCTTTGACAACCACCTACAGGCTAACATCCAACCAGGGTGTGCAGGCATGGACAGGAGCTCCCCACCTTGGAGGCCAAACCAGAGGATGCAGAAAAAGCAAAGTTCAGATTTGACCTAAGAAGTCTGGGGCTTGGCAGCCAGCAGACCTTGAAGATTCTTCCTCTATTAGCAGGGGTGAAATGGACAGGATTTACTGACCCATGAAGACTACCCTCGCCACAACAATCTACAGAGGGGATGTGTAGGCCGAGATAAGTCAACTCTCCCACTGACATTGGAAGGCGAATCTCTGAAGACCACTGCGGTCACACAGTGCCCACGCTGCCACAGAACCTACGAGTTACAGCAGGAGCAGGGCACAGCCAAGCCTTACCATTTATAAAGACATATTTTCTTCCTGTGACATTCACTTGGTTAACACCTAGGTGACATAACTCTTTCCCCCCAAGTGCCCCATGCTTTCCTTTCCCGGTTTTCCACGGTTTTATTGGGACTTGAACAGCATCTCTTTAAAATCTGGAAATTTCATAGACTGCTTTGAAATCTGATTTCAGGCCACTTCCCAAGGATGGCCACTGCAGACAGGAATGCCTCATGGCTCCGGCCTCCTACCCCTTCTTCTACAGCGGGCCAGTGAGGGAGCGAGCATGTTAATGTTCAAACTTCACTAACCAGAGCTGGCATTCATTTACTGTGCACAGCAAACTGGCCCTAGGGGTTGACAGAGGCCTTGCCTTCAAAGGGCAAAGTCCGGTGTGTGCACCCCGCTTCCACAGAGAGGACCGAGGCTCAGGGCAAACCACCTGAGGCCGCAAGGCAGGTGAGTGGCTATCCTGGGAAAAGGGCCCAGATCTCTGACATGAAAATTGATGTGTCCTGCCCCATCCATCTCCCTACCCCACCCCCATCCTCCCATTTCTGTCTTGCTCTTCTTTGGACTGATCACACAGGGAAAGACTCAGATGATGTGAAAACTCTTGCTACAGTGAGCTGGGAAAACCATTTGGGTGGAATGCTATGCTTTCAATCACCCAAGGTCCCTGGCTCACCCTCTGTATCAGAAAGGGGTGGGGCTGGGAGCAACGGTATCCATTCATTTTGTGACCCTTGACATCCATTTTGCCTTGTTAGTCTGTCACCCTTGGGGGAACAAAATTAAAATGCACTTAAAAGTCACGTGACTGTTTTTATCTTAATTTTACTGTCGCGTAGAATGATCTACACCACCCCCGGGACATCAGAGACTACACCGGCAAGGCCGGGAACATCACAAGGGTCAAAGAAAATGGACTAGTCCCAGCACACCGCCTGACCCCAAAGGTTTGCATGTGGAGATAGCGCTGCTAAGCCACCTCCCCCATCTGAGGACAAAGCCACATGGACACAAGTCCCGCCGATGGGACTCAAATTCTTTTCTGGATAGAGCACTGGAGGTTCGGGGCCAGCTCAGAAACACAATGAAATTAAGTAATTTTAGGAAGCTAAGCAGCTAGAGGAGATGCTGTCCAGGTGTATGCAGATCCACCATGATTAAGCATGTGTCATGCACATGTAGGGACCAGGGCCCCTCACACAAAAAGATGTGGGAAGGTAACTGACTATAACCAGGGATGCAAAGCAGCACATTCGCACACGGTCCGTGATGTGCACACTTCTCTGGTGCCTTCAGCTCAGCTCATTTCTGCAAACCATGAGGTCCCAATACACACCAGAGCTTGTTTGCCCCAACAGGGTTACAGTCCTGCTTAGATACTGGTGGCATTTATCACCAATCTCTAAGAACGAAGTCACCTAAGAGTCACGCGGCTGTCTTTATCTTACTTCTACTGTCACACAGAACGATCTCCATCGCCTTTGGGAAGCTGGGTCCCACCACCCTGACAAGGCTTCACAGAATCCAGAGGCAAGCAAGGCATGAGTGAAGGATGGGTGGCCCCTACTCCTGCAGCATGTCTCCAGATGGTCCCTGAACCGCCAGTGGAAGGTAAGAAACTATTAACTAGGGTGGAGGGAGGTGCCACAAGCTCTGCACTGTGGGGTTCTATCCATATCCAATGTTCTGGTTTGAGGGGAAATGTCTCCCACAGGTGCACGTGCTTAAGAACTTGGTTTCTGGAAGATGAACGGTTGTGACAGTTCTGGGGGTGGGGCCTTGCTGGAGAAAGTGAGGGAGGGGCCTTACAGCCCGACAGCCAGGCCCACTTCCTGTTTGCTATCCACTTACTTCCTGTTCGCTCTCAAGGGCTCCATGACGCCATGTGACAGGCTACCTCATTCTCCTGCTGCCATGGTGGGTTCCCTCTCAAATGATAAGCTCCCTCAAGTTGTTGGTTTCCTGTGGGGTATCTGGACACCACAGCAAAAAAAGCAACTGAGGCCGCCTGCACTCCGCCACATACTTGGGCCTCGACAAACAGCCAAGGGAAGCGATTCGCCCAAGGCCACAAGTAAATTAGTCACTGCATTAAAGTTAGAATCAAGATGCTCCCATGCTTATCACAAGTCCTCTGAGTTCCAAACCAGAGAGATGAATAAAAAGTGAGAGAAAAACACCCTAAAATAAAGAGCAGGAGGGAAATTAAGAGATGTCAATCAGAAGGTTAAGAATCCCATCTACCCAGGGGTTTAAAACCAGAAAAATAAAGGTCAGGGAAGAACGGCTTGCTTTAGGACGTGTAGGGTTTACCCAGTCCTACTCTGTCGGATTCCACAAAGCTCTGTAGAGCATCTAAGCCAAAGCCCTCCAAAGGACAATGACCGATCAAAGAACTATGGGACACAGAATTGTATCCGTTCACAGGTGACAGTTCCTTCTCTACAATACTCATTGTTGTAGGAACTATTGACGATGACACACGTTTTTCTCTGGAGGGAAAACCTTTAAACACCAAGCACGTGTGTATACACTTAGACAGACAGGGATCTACACCCCAAACTGACATATTACCACATTTATTTCTTTCTCTACAAATGAAAATTGTGGATAACACTATTGTCATTCCTTCATGTAATAAACCAATTTACTGCCATGTATTTTATGGATTGTTCAAATTTTTTTTTTTGAATTTGTAACTCTCCTGCGACCTAGGCTCATAAGCATGTACCACGCCCCTTACCTTGAATCTTTTCAATGTGTACCCCATAAAACTATGGAGAATCACAGTATGGTCTGTGAGCTCCCCATGCTCACCTCATCCTTTGCTGCTGTGGGGAATCTGACACCAATTCTTTGCCTTCTGCATCAAAACGTCTTCCAGTCACCTAAACCTGATCATAAACATTTGTTTGTGTCTTTTCCTCTAGAAAAACCCAACAACTAGTGGTTGTCCTTGTACCTGACTTCTCTTATGGCAAACCCCTCTCCCTACGATGTCACGATCTACAGATATCTACGCTACTCTAGCTAAAGCAAGGTTCAGATTCTCTGACCATAGCGAACAATCCCTCAACCTACTGAGCAGATGGAATGATCTAGAAAGGACAGATGAATTCTAGTAGAGAACAGGAGTGGTTCTCCTTGTTCTAATGCTACTTCTTGGAGAAAAAGGTAATCGAGAATCAAGGGGGCTGGTGAGATATCTCCGCAGGTATAGCCACTTGCCACCATGCCTGATGACCGCTGAGTTTTCCCAGAATCCACAGAGTGGGAATAAAAAGCTCACTCCAGTAGAGGTCAGAATATTCAAGGTCATCCTCAGTTATATACTGAGTTCAAAGGCAACCTGAACAGACACTGAGTCAAACATCGACAGACAGACAGAGACAGACAGACAAATAAATAGAAAGTTTTAAATGAAGTGATATTTTACAAATGAACGGGCAACAGACAATTCTGAGCATCATGAAACATAAGACAGGCTTCATGTATTTTGAACAGCTAGATGAGTGATGTGTGACTAAATATATCCATAGCTCAGATGCAATATGTAGTTTCTATGGTGCCCAGACCTTCCGGGACAACCAGTCAGTGGTCAAAGTCATGAATAAGAAAGAGAGTGAAGAAACAGCTTTTTGAATATTCTGATGTACTCAGTCAAGTCACAAGAGGAACATAAAAACTCTTCTCAGCACCAGAAGAGGCCAAGTATTTTGTCAAAATTTAAGTGTCCCCTCCAGACAGCAAGAAATACAGATGGCAGCAGCCAGTGCAGCAAACGTGGTATCATCAACGTGACTAGGAGGAGGGGATGCCTGCAGCTATTCAACATGAGACTTGGCTACTGAGGTCACAGGGCTACACACACACAGACACACACACGTGAGCATGCACACACACACACACATTTCCCAATTTTATGGTCTTGGTCTTTTCTGCAGCTAGAACACAGTATGAGTTACTGACAAACAGGGTGAGTTACTGACAACAGAAGTTTATTTGTTCATGGTTTTAGATGCTGGAAAAACCACAGCAATGACGGGTGTGGAAGACAGAAGTAGACATGCAGCCGAATTTATCCTCTTTAACCAGGAAGCCACCCCTACAGCTCGACATGAATCCATTCATGAGAAAACATAACCATCTCTTAAAGGGGCATTTCAGTTCAGCATTAGGGCACCTGCCTTTAATCCCAGTATTTATAGGCAGTCAGGAAATTCTCTGAGTTTAAGGCCAGCCTGATCTATACAGCAACATCAGCCAGGGCTATAAATGAGACCCTGTCTCCAAATAAAAAGCAGCAGTTTCAGGTCACTGAGTCTTAAAGGCAACGTTCGAATCACAGCAAATTCCCAGGCTATCTCGCCACTGTAATACAACCCAAAATCTTTGAGCCTAAAACTTAAGCCAAGTGCATTTGGCCTCCACCACGGATGATCCTGACACCTTCTTGAGGTACACAAGGAGTCACGTGTTCAAGTATCCATCTTAGAAAACAAAGCCAAACGCTATTAACAGTTTTTGATTTTTGGTACGTGGACTTTAAAACCTCAAGATAAAAGTTTATGGTCAAACACTGTGAGAGTAGTAAGGTTTCACAGGCTCTCTCTCCTGTCCTGCCTGTTATTTCTTCTTCCTCCTCTTCATTTTCCTCCTGCCATTCCCTCATTTTTTTTCCTTGTTAATTTTTGAAAGTCTCACATAGAGAAAGCAATGATACTTTGTAGTCAACGGTGACCTTGAACTTCTGGGACTGCAGGCTTGCACCTGTGCCTGGGTCTCTTTTTCAACTTTAGCTTTAATTCATGGTTGAAATGGTACATGAATTGTGTGCACTGCCGAGTCTGGTGTATGGCTGAATCAGGTTCATCCCTCATCTACATTACTACATCACTTCACCACTTCCCAGCTATCCGTTCTGGCTTCAACACAGGATGCCAGTTTCTATCAAAGGTTCTGGGTTTGGCCGTGGTCACCATGCTGTCTGGAAGCAGGAAGAAGGGTTCAGGGTGATGCTAACACAAGCCAAACAGGAAGAAGAAAAGGCAATTAAGTGTTTTTCTTTTCATATGATTGGCCAAGTTTATCTACCAAAAATGAGTTTCTGGATTTGATCCTAATTAGCGTACCACTCTCTAAGCATTTCCTAGACTATGTCAGCAAGATGGTGAACCCTACCACATTCCCACCCAGGATGCATTTGTCATCAAAGACTGACGACACCTGCCAAGACGGCTGTGGTCTTAAAGACAAGATGACTCCATCTCAGAATGGTGTGCGTTGGGAAGAATAGGCTGATGTGGAGAAACAAACCTTTTTACTCGAAAATGGCTCCATTGTAAGCAATGATATCAAGGAATTGATTTGTTACCTTTTATTTCTTCATAGACAGGGCTTCATTGTATAGGGCTGCCAACTCCTAGCAATCCTCTTGCCTCGGACTTCCAAGCGCTGGGGTAATGTGTGAGCCACCACTTAAAGCATGAATCTTTAATGTTAGAGTGTGGTGTTAGTACAGTGTTGTACGACTTTATCTTTCAGGGAGACACGTTGAAATAATTTTAATAAAAAAAAAACCAGTCTTTCCAAAAGTAAAGTATTTTAGTTGGTATTAAAATTTTGTTTCAAAATTATTGTTATTCAGTGTTTATTATGTTTTCTACCTTTTAGAACTAGGATAAATTAAATGTAACATTTACATTTTAACAGATTTCAAGGTATACAGTTTAGTGGTATTAAACGCAATCCCACTGCTGTGTGACCATCACTACCCCTTCCTTCAGAACGAGACATTTCCACTAACCCTCCCACCCTCAGCACTCACTGCAAACATCACATTCTACAGCTTTCCTCTACCACACGTTCACACATTTGCTGATGCTATGACTTCCAAGTTCTCAGCTTGCAAATACTGATGTGTTCCATAAAATATACTACACTACATCTGGGGGCCACCAAGCCACTCCTGCCATTTTCAGTCACACAGAAGTGTGTAGGGGCAAAGCCGCCCATGTGTGACTAAGCCGGCCCTCCAGAGGATTTGCGATTCTGGCTTATCATTAACCCCACGCTTCCGCTTCCGTGGACATCGGTGGGTGAGCATTTTAGCCCTTCCAGAACCAGCTAAAGTTGTGCACATCCTTAGGATTTCTGACAGATCACCAGAGGGCTGCCATTCCATTTGCTGATGCTTTATCTACCGATGTTTCTAACATTTACACAGACAGCTCTAGATCTGAGGTGCGCGAAGGAGGCCGGATATGGCTGAACAGCGGCTCTTACATTCTGGAGAAATGCCCGCACTTCCTGTTCTCATGTGAGTGCTGTCTGGTGTGTCGTTTGAGAATCCCACAGAGGTCAGGGATGTGAGGAGCTAGACGAAGGTCTGATATCTCCTTAACTCTTAAATATGAAACATGGAAGGAGCATAAAAGAGGCAGCTGAATAAGAGGCATATATGGTCATCTCTACACTCAGCAGCCCAAAGCAGGGAGGTCACGAGTACAAGGCCAGCCTGGGTGCAGAGTGAGACCCTGTCTTGAAGGAGGGAGGGAGAGGGGAGAGAGGGAGTGAGGGGAAGAGAGAGAATGCAAGGGCAAAAACAACAA